CGCGCGTGCGTTTGCGTGCGCACGTGGCCTAAGTGTGCGTGCGTGCGTGCGTGTGTGTGTGTGTGTGTGTGTGTGTGTGTGCCAGTAATAGGCCATTTTTCTCATCTGCGGCTTTTCTCTCCTTCTCTGCGCGTTTTCTCTGAAAATAAAGGTGTAGATTTTAATTGGGCAAAGCCTCAAATCGCACAAAATGTACAAATGTGTCTATTGACGTTTCTAATAATGCACAGATTTGTATTTGTTTACACCTGCCTGCAAGCGCCGATGAAAGTAAGAAAGAAAAATATCAAAGTCATTGATATTAATCTACCTTTTTGCACAATAAAGCTGCAGAGAAAAACGCGGCAGGTTTTTTTTTTGCTCCCCTGTTTTGTGCGCAAGTAAACTTTTTAGCTTTAAGCCTGCCTTTTCGCCAATACCCACCTTTTATATTTACCACTCCATCTCTGGTTATAGCCTGTATCCTCCTGCCCATATCAAATTCAGCACAATAGCTCATCACTGTGAGCCTGTCAGCGCTGTTATTGTCATTCATAAGCCTCTCTCTGCTCCAGGCACTGGGCCCTCCTGGCAGCCCTGCTCAATGCTTCGATTATCAAACCGTCATTATGTAAATTGGCATGTACAGTGCAACTCTTTGATCCGACTAAATTAGGAAAAATGTTATTTGCTAACAGCCCCCAGGGGCCTGAGTCGACCTGACAATCTGCTCTTTGCTGTGTCACAGTGTAAACTGTCAGAGGGCGAGCGACATGTATTTGATTTTTCTCTCAGCTGTTATTATGAAGACTATTTGTTATGCAGAAATCAGATTAAATATTATACGTAGCTATTTCAATGTCTGATATTTTATTGTCAGCAATTATTAAGTTTGTTAAAGCATTTTAAGATGTTAATATCACTGCGAGAATGTGTATCTTTATTTTGTAAAAAGAATATAGCTATAGTCTAAGAAAAAAGGAGAAAACCCTCAGTATGTTCCTCCGTACATTATTATCACTTTAGAGTATTTTTTAATGTTAAACTCTTTCAGAAGAGACCAGGGTCACGAGTGAAGAACACGAGCTTTTATTAAGGGTAGGTTATAATATTTTGGCGGGTTTACATTTTGTTTAATTTTGTATTATTTGTCATGTGAACGTTATGAATTTAAGCCAGGCTGCATTTTGAAACTTCAAAATATACCAAATACATTTCCAGCTAAATAAACTGCTTTAATCTCCACTCAGTTGAAAGAAAATATATGTATATTTGTTACAGGCCACTGCCGCTGTATTTTGTCCACATTACAAACACAACAGGATCAACTTCATTCTGATTTAGAGGAACTGGCGACTTTACTTAAATTACTTCAGAGTCTGGCTGATAAAAAAAAATAGGCGTTTTTCATAAACATTAAAGCATTTTTACACCGTTTTTGTTAAACACAACATGTGATTTAAAAAACAGAATAAAGAGCTGTTAGAAAGTTTTTACCTCTTGCAGAGACAGTTGTCACTTCGTACACGGACAGCTCAGACACTCCGAGCTCCTCCACCTCTTCACTTTCTCCTCTGCTCTTCCAGCTGTTGGTGCTTTTAAAGCCCGCTGTCTCCCTCCTTTTGTCCGACAGAGAGATAAACGAGTCGGGCAAATGTAAAAGTCATCCAGTCTTGTTGCTTCGCTTCAAGTCCGTCCGCTCGCGCTCCACCTGCTCCTCTCGTGATGAATTCGCCGAGTCTCGCGCAAGAGTGGGAAGCCGCCATCTGCTGGTGCGCGAGAGCCCGTTGGAGGGATTTTAAGGAGAGCTTCGCGGGGGTCATGCTGGCTTTCTATTGGCTCTCCGTGCTGTCAGTCAAGTCAATCAGCTCGCTGGCGGTCCGGCGGCAGACTCCGGCGCACTGACTTCTGCAGTTATTTCCAAATATGATCAATTTAAGCTCATTAGGTCCGCTAAATCCCTCCATGTCTGTCTACACGTGGGTTCTTTTTTTCATTTATTGAAATTGATAAACATTCCCGAGCTGTGAAGACTAAAGCTTTCTAACTGATCGATTTTGGCCAAATTTGCGGCCAGTTTAAAAATACTTTTAATTTCTTGACAAATCGTCTGTAATTTATTAGGTTAAAGATTCTTGTAGGTTAGCCTGTTCTCTTTAAGATTAAACTCTAGAGAGTGTTATTTTCAATGCATTTTAGTGTAATATGAATTACAATCAAGGAATAATATATAGAATACACGACAACACATTTTAAACATTCACAGCTATGAGGTAAGCCTGATTTCATGTGTATACAAGTTATTTTGTTTTTTTCCAGTCCACTATCCTCTGACTGCTTGTATGCACTTGGAGCATGAATCCAATTGCCTCTCCTTAGTTTTTGTGAGGCAAAGAAACCAACCTTTAGTTTGTTTGCTCTTCGGCTTTTCCTCCATGCCACTGGAGGAGAGAGAGACTTTAGAGAGATGGCTAATAGATGCCAGGGCGCTGCCTTTAGACTCTCTCCCGGCCTGGAAGGATTTGGGATGGGATAGGGAAGACAAGACGCCATCTCAGCCTCCAAAAACCCCTGTCTTAAAATGACTGCGGGTAAGAGGATTAGGGCAATAATGCCCTTCTCTTCTTGAAGGGTTTTTAGAGAAGATTTCTTCTCCCGGAGCAAAACCGTTTAGGTAGGGAATTAAGGGCAGCGCAAAGTAGCCTTTTAATGTAAAGCTTGCATATTTTGTTGGGAGATTCTTTGGGAAAGTGCTTGGCCTATAACGCAGCGTTATCTCTGACCATGTTTCTCACTCCGAACACATTTTGAACAGTAGACAAAAGATTTCATGGAATAGAGAATATTTATGTCCATGCTCACATTAAAACACAACTGCACTCAAATTCATATAAAGTTGAAAGTTATGGCTGTGTGTGTGTGTG